CCTGCAGATGAAGGCATGAACCCCAAGGAGCCCTTAGGTTACTGGCTGGAACCCGTCATGGGACTCCTACGCGGGCACCTCCCTGACCCTCAAGAACCCGATTCAGACGACGAAGGGGACTCTCGGTCTAAGCCCAAGCCTTGGAAACCCACTATCCAGGAGGCCAGCCTGCCGAGGGCCATTGTCGGAGGAGGGCTTTGGCCACCACAGCGCCTGTACATGCACGGCTACGCGCGCACATCATGTTGCCCTGGATGCCCATGCGAGGTCTGCACTAGCTATCACATTTCTTGGGAGTGTCCTTCCAGGCAGCAGAAGCAGGACCAGGCCTTGGCAGCTATCGACGTGCGAGGATTGCCCTCGCGCACCGCAGGCTCCTGGTTGGGAAATCGTGGACTTGCTCCACGACCGTGTCTTCCGCCGCTGCCGCCTCGTGACGACGGCAAGCGCTGGCATGTCTTGCACGGCTCCCTGGACTCAGTCACAGGGGACATCTGCACGGACGGTGCGCGCAGAAAACTGTGGTGCTGGCCAGATGCTTCGAGAGCGGGATGGGGCTTTATCAGATATCAAGTCAGGTCGATCCAGCTGGTCGTCTCCAGGGCCTCACCTGGGCCCCTTCAGAGTTCCCCACGTGCTGAGCTCGATGCCTTCCTCCAGGTTTTAGAGGCAGCTGTTTTACCGATTCGAGTTTTTACTGACTTCCTGGGCCTTGTCGAGGGCCTTGATCTCGGCCCAGTGTTTACGCGCGGCCCCCGTCGGCTGAACACGGACCTCTGGGAGGCCATCGGGCGTAAAATAGATGATCACGGAGGCCTTGGAGACGCCTTGCAGGTTTTCCACGTTCGTGGTCATCAGAAAGGTGACTCCCTGGAGGCACGGTCCAACAGATGGGCCGACTTTGCAGCCTGTGCAGGTCGTGATGTGCATAGCGTGCCTAAGAAGACGGTCACGGCCATGCGTATTGCGCATGAGTCCGCTTGCGGCGTGCTCCATTGGCTTGTGCGTGCGCATATTCATCATATGTCGTATGGTCGCACGCCAACTTTGAAACGACGCAAGCTGTATAAACCGAAGGTTGTTGCCCGTCCCGAGCCGTTCCTTGATCAGTCCTTGAAACACGCGTTTTCCAAGCAAGGTGAAGGGTTTTGGCGGTGCAATTTTTGTAAACGAGGTGTCAAGAGCGACAAGCAAAGGCAGCGTTTCTCCGAGTGGGCTTGCCCAGCTCGTCGGCCTGTGGTCACTCGTGCCGATTGTCCCGCTGAGGTCTCTCCTGGTGGTGGGTTTCCTCGGCGCCTAGTGGTGCTGACACCCAGGGGGCCTCAGGTAGTGACCCCGAGGCTTCCCAGGGTTCGGGCCCGTCGGGGATGGGTGTGGAGAGGCCTAAGCGTGAGATGGAGTTGGGTCCCACCGTGGACCGTCTGGTCCGATGCCGCTTGTCCGCTCCAGCCCGTGCCCGCTCGCCCCCGCCAGCAACACGTAACGTGCGCGCTCGCGGATCGTTTTCAGCCCAGTCGTCCAGACTCGGTCCCGAGATGCCGCTTCACTGGCGACAGCGGTCCAGGCTCTCTCCTCCTCCTCCCTCGGTCTTCCTCCTCCCAAGAGAAGGAACCTTGGACCGCGGCCAGGCCGTGCTAAGAGTTCTGAGGCAACAGTGCCAGCCGCACCGTTGCCGTTTTGCGGCATGGTCCAGTCGTGTCACGCTCGTGGGCACTATCCCTGGGTCTCGCCAGGACACGTCGTGCTCTGCGTCAGATGTGGATATTACACCACAGGGCAGGCGGGTCAGCTCTTCCTTGATTGCTCGCCAATTGTGCCTTTGGGTGAGCACGCCAGGAGGAATCGTAAGTTGTTCCTGGAGAGGAAGCACCCCTCGGACGAGGGGAGACCTGGATCCAGGAGCCTTCCACAGCCCAGGCCCTTGCAGGTCTCTGACCCCGAGGTCTCCTGGCTCAGGCTCCTGAGGGCCTAGCGTTTCTTGGGGGGCCCGCCCTCAAAAACTTCTGGCTCGGGCTCCCTGACTCCTGGGCGTTTGGTCCTGGTGCCGTTTTAAACTCGCTATCCCCCCCAAACTCCGTTAACTGTCAAGAGAGGAGGGGGCCCTTTTTGGCGACGACCGCGAGCACAGCCGCAGGCATTCCGCCCTGGAGCTCTCCGACTGACGAAGGGGACTCCAGGGAACAGCTCCTTGAAAAAAGTTGTGGGGTGGGAGGTGGAAAAGCACAGCTCGAAGCACAGACGGCTGCGGAAGAGGGGAAAGGGAAAAAGGGGGAGGGAGCCAGACACTGCGGCCTAGGGGGGAATAAAACCGTTTAGGCATAGCCAAACGAGACCATATTCCCCCCAAACTCCGTTAACTGTCAAGAGAGGAGGGGGCCCTTTTTGGCGACGACCGCGAGCACAGCCGCAGGCATTCCGCCCACGCCCGTCCCGGGCCCCACCCTCCGGTAAAAGTCCAAGCCACCGCCGACCTCCAGTGGGCAAACTGCTCACAGGCAGGGGGCGGGGCCCACGAAACGATTAAAAAAGGCGGGCCAACTCCGCCACCGAGCCCCGCCTCGGGGGAGCCCCACTCCAGGCGCACCGGGGCATGTCCGCGCAGTGCGCCACGTGGGGCGGGGAGGGGAGAGTGACCGGGGCCGCGCAGGGGTCACCCTGCCCGCATCCTGCGCAGCCGCTTAACACGTTCATGACTCGGCGGCCGGCGTGCGTGCAGGGGGGCCCAAAAACTCGGGGCCACCCCTCCAGAGGGAGGGGGTCCGTGATGAATTCATGGAGAGGGCCACCCGCCTCCCGGACGTCCGCACAAGACCGGGTCCGGCTCAATCCGTCTCTTCCAACTGCAGTATCGCCCCACCCGGGGGCTCCGGGGTCGCCTCCCGTGCACGGCTGGTAGGGGCCCCCCCCTTGCCCCGTGCGTCGGTCTCCCCAGCCTCGCGGGGGGAACGGGGTAGCCCGCCCCGGGCTGGTCTCGGGGCTTCTGCCTCCGGCCGGGTCACTTCCAGGCTCCTCCGCAGGGCTGCCTCCCTCGTCTCCTGCATCTTCTCCATGACCTCGGGGATCCTGTACTCCCTCCCGGTGGACGGGTTGGTATTGGTCTGAACGCCTTCCCCGAACGTGTCCTTCAGGTACTCCTCCGCGATCCGCCCGTTGGTCTGGCCCAGTCCCGCCTGGGCCCTGCGGCTGAAGTCCCCCGGGTGGAACAGGCGCTCTCCCCCGGGGGAGGAGGAGGCCCCCGCCCTCTGCTCGTCGACGAGGATCTCCACCAGGACCTGCAGGACGTTGCGGAAGCCGCCACCCAACGGGGCTTGTAGCCACGCGTCCGACCAGAATAGCTCCCGGGTCTCGAAGGTGTCCTCGGCCGGCGCCGCCGGCTCCGCCTCCTGGGGCCCCTGACCCTCGGCCGGGGGTGCCGGCTCGGGCCCCGGGGGCCCTTCCTCCGGCAGCTGGAAGCGCGGGTGCCTGGGCTGGGCGCCCTCCGGGGGCTCGGTTGACTCGGCCGGTCCCTCCAGCCCAGACCCGTCCTCCGCCGCACCCTGAGCCGGGCTGGCGGCCCCGACAAGGTCGGCCTCGCCCTTCTGGTCCGCCCCCCCTCCCGGCTCCGCGCCCCCGCCTCCCCGCCCCTCCTCAGCGGGTACGTCCTGAGGCGGCTCCGCGTCCTGAGCTGGGAGGGGTCTCCCGCCCCCACTCTCCGCGCCAGCGGGGTGCCCCCCCGCGGCCCCGTCCGCCACCCCGCCGGCGACGGGCTCCGCGGTCTTCCGAAGCGGCGGGGGGGGGAGGCGTGCCGTTCGGAGCTTTTGCCCATCCCGGTGCGCCCTGAGGTGCTGGGGGACTGGGCCCTGGACCAGGTGCATCAGCCTGTAGACCTCCCGCGCCTCCACGAAGAACAGCAGCATGTGCTTCGGGTGGTAGTAGACCGTCTCCGTGCCTCCCTCCTCCAAGCGGAGCGGGAGGGCGCGGTGGGTGTCCAGGCTCCGCGGGCACCCATCCAACTGGGTCCATCCATCCCCCCCGACCCGAATGGTGGAGTCCAGCCATGCCGCCAGCTCCGGGGGGAAGTGGCCCATCTCCTGCAGGACCTCGGGCTTCCACAGCCCCACCCAGCTTGGGGGGATGGGCGCCCTGATAGTGTAGCCGCCCGTCGGCAGCACGGGGGTGCGCACCCAGTCCGCCGCCATCCCTTCCGGGATCCAGCTGGCCACCCAGTCGTAAGGGTCCTCGTCGGGGTCCTCCTCGTACGCTCCTCTTGCGCTCCCGCCCGACTCCCCCGAATCGTCCTGGGCTTCTCCTTGCGCCGGTCCAGCAGGGCCGGGGACGACCGGCGCGCTCCCGAGGTCTGCGGGTGCCGGGGGTGGCTCCTCCGGGGGAGGCTCTTCCGCTTCCCGCGCGGGGTCGAGGTCCCCCTCCGTCCGTCGCTGCACCGGGACCACCCCGGGTCCCAGGGCCGCATGGAGGGCCCCCTCATGATCTCCTTCCTCGAGTAGCTTCTTTGCGGCCTCGGGCCTGTGGGTGAGCTCCGGGGGCCCGACCCCGGAGGCGAACGCGAGGGCGCGCCGCGACTCCGTGAAGAACACCAGGCTCCT